GAGGAGTACCATTGAGTTGATTTAATCTCAGAGCCAACCCCATGTAACAGGGTAGAACTGACCCTTAGAGTTTTCTAAGCTGGGATTTTATGGGAGCAGATTGTGGAGGCTTTGTCCCACTGAGCCACCAAATGACTTCCAATCAGCAGCCTTTTAGTTTCTAGGCAAGCACCTTACTATTGTACCACCAGGCTCCTTCAAAATACATGCACATTTGTAGAAATCATTTATTAAATTGGACAAAGAGCATGAGCAGGAAGTAAAAAGGAGAAATAAAAATCACTTTAGAAACACATGAGAAGATCAGTTTTACTAATAGTAACATAAATATAATTTACAACAGAAATGAGACTTTGGAAGGCATGGGTGGTATAAAAGTCAGTGTGTTCAGTTGCTAAATGAAAGGTTGGAGTTTTGAATTCACTGAGCAGTGCCGTAGAAGAAAGGTCTGGTGATCTACTTCTGAAAAAGCCAGCCATTAGAAAACCATTCTCCGACATTGTGGGGTCAGCATGAATCAGAGGCAGCAGACAGCAACTCTTGCTTGCTTTTTATTTTGCTGAAATTGGTAAATATCAATAACTCTCAGGACCATCAATATATAAAGAAATAATCATTCTCATATGCTACTTTTAATTGTGTAAATGCGAACAAGCTTCTGGAGAGCAGAATTACAATGTGTAGCTGATGTATATATAATATACCACCTGCCTTATGGCTTATCATGACCACATCTAAGATATTTCATTAATCAAGTAATGGGAAAGAGCGTCCAGACATCTTTGAGAAGATTCAGCATGACATTATTTATAATAACAAAAAATTAGAAATCATTTACATATGCATCAGTCAGATAAGTAATTGGTTAAATTACAGTCAACTGAAGTTAAATGCGTAAGCGTTCAGGCTCTAGAGTCTGCAGTTTAGAGCGTCATGTTGCTAGTATGGAGCCAAGCATATAAGCCACCAATACAGGGAACTGACAGTACAGGACTTAATGGATTCTGAAGAACAAAGAAATGTTGAGGAAAGAATGAGGAGGAAGAAGGGGACAAGTAAAATTTTACAGTGAAAGGATTACTTTAGTTTGTTTTTTTTTCTAAGCTGAATCAGCTAAATTTTTGTGATTTTTGTATTTCTATGTATGTGTGTAATTAAATATATATGTACATTTATATTTAATGTTTCCAGCTCCCAAAGATAGAGATTCATAACGATACTGTTATCAAAAGCAATAATGAAAACTAAATTTTAAAAAAAAGATCAACTTATTTCAAAACCCATTTATGGAGTCATCAGAACAGAACTCCATCATAAATAGGGACTCAAGGTATAGAATAAGTGTTTAATAAGTGCTTACTGAATATTAGTTCATCTTATTAATGTAGAAAATATCACATTTCTTAATTTTAAAAAATGCTAGTGACAAATATATAACCATACATTTCTATATATGTGTATATGCATAGAGAAATGTCTAGAAGAATGTCTTTCTAAATGTTACCAGTAAGTTATCTCTCAAGGTTGAGATCAGTGGTTTTTACTTCCTTATTTACACTTTTAAGTATTATTTTTAAAGGCCATTTAATTGACCTATGATTCATGTGCCATATAGTTCAGTGGTTTATTAAGCCATCTCACAATCAATTTTAGAATATGATCTTCATTCTTGTTTCCATTATTAGCTCACCATTACCTCCGGTCTTCTTGCCATCGCCCTAAGGAACTAATAATATAGTTATTGTCTTTGTAGGTTTACCTATTCTAGATTTCACATAAAATCATACCAAAAAATCTTAACAGAAAACCTCAATCTAAGGGAAAGCAGAAGATAATAGAAACTAGTCGATTTGAAATGAATCAAAAATGAAAACAAATAACAGTATTTTAAATTTTAACCTATGTCTACAGTAATGTACTTTCCAGTGCACTCTCTCTGAGGGCAAGACTGTTCACGTCCCTTCTCATTGGTCTGATGGGATTCAATGGTGGCTTATTCTGCATGGGGGCTTTGCAAATGGAATTTGGTTTTTCACTGTCATCCATAGCCTTTGCAAGCCAGATGCTCAGAATTTAAGCGCTAAAACCGTCCCCTTCCCTGATCTTTAGATCACATGGCCTGGTGTGCTCTCTCCATGTGGACTTAATTGATACCTCACTTAGATGGCTGCTTATTTTAAGACAAGCCTTTAGACCCCAGACACTATTCTTTCTGAATGCTGGGCACCATCTGATTTGCTCTCCACCCTTTGGTTATAGCACCCATGTCTTCAGTGATCACTTCATGAAAGCAAGTATGGATCAGGACCACATCAAAAGAACAAATTGTTCTTAGATTAGGGTTTATGATTAGGTTTATGTTCTTAGATTAGGATTTAGATAAGTGAGGGCTTAAAATAAATACTTGTATCTAAAGTTTACATATGTTCTGGTCCACTTTAGAAGCCGCATTATCAATTTGAGAAATAATGTAACTCAACTCCTATGCTTTGGGTTGTTAACCCCGACATCAGCCGTTCAAACCACCAGCTGTTCCATGGGAGAAAGAGAATGCGTTCTACTCCCAGAAATAGTTACATCCTTGTTCTAGAATTGAATGTGGTGATTATTGTACAATTCTTCTTGATGTGACTGAATCATTGAATTGTATGACGCGGATGAAGTGCTAATAAAACTTTTTTTAAAGATTTACAGTCTCTGAGACCCACCAGGGTAGTGGTTCTACTCTAACTAGAA